GTTAAATTCGCCCCTCAGTCTCGTTTGGGATTGCTAATTATTGTTTTTACAGTACAACAATTGGGGTATTAGGGCATAAGCGGCTGGAGATAACATCCAGAGGAAGACGAGGGCGCGGAAAGGGGAGAAAAGGGAAGACGAGCATGGGGGAGAAAGATAATGGGTCGACAGAAGGGGAGCTATGATAGGGTCTGGTCCATGGCGGTGTCTCTGCTCTCTCTGCAACAACACACCACATTATCAGGAGACTCACTGACTCACTCCCTTCTCCAAGGATCTTGAAAAGTGAGGAAACTTGACAGGGGAAAAGTTACGAATGTTTGACAGTTTATGGATCGCCAAAAACCAGAGAGAGTCATGGAGAACGGTAGTCACATGCACAACGGAAGACTTCTCTTCACACGGTTGAAATATAAACATCAGACATGCAACTTTGAGACCTTAAATACACACACACACACAGGCAAATTTCTTGAGGGTGAAAAGTTAAAGCTGCTATAATGACATTATTTTTATTAACAATGGATCACATGACTATTTGTATGTGACACAGGTCACTCATGGGAATGAACCCACAGAGAAGTATCACCGAATTCTGCAGTTTTCCTCACTTCTACAGAGCTTTATAGCAACATTCAACGCATTGTTTTGGTTTTCAGTCCTGACACTTCACTGTTTTGGCTTTCATAGGGCATTTTTGGGCCACAGCAGGATTTTATGCTGCCTTGACAGCACTACAATGCAGGCAGGTACCGTTAGCAACCAGTTGGTGAACATAGCAGGTTAAGAGCCAGATATTATCCTTGGTAGTTGATGGAGATCAAAACAAGAGCAAAAAGGAGAGTGAATATTGGACCTACATTCTTCAGGTGGCCAGAAACCCAGCAATGAATGAATGCACATGTTGTTCTGTATCTGCTGGATGTGTCATAAGGCAACCGTTTGATAACAAGTTGGCCATATCAACTTAAAAGGGGAAATTGTATGTCAGCAGCCAGCTTTCCATCCAAATGTAACACATAATTTACCTGAATTTCTAGAAAATTGGCAAAAAAAACCCAATGTGAGTTAATGCATGTTTCCATTCACTATCTTAATGGTAATATTTAGATAAACAGCTGGTGGCACAGGCTCCTCATCGCTCCACACAGATCTGATGTTTCCGTCTGCAGCTGTATTTTCTACTGAAGCAACTGCTTCACTGGACGTTTAGGTCACATGCGTCATGTAGATCATGATTTAGCTGCCGCCTGCTTCCAGTGCACTTTGTCACATTTTGTTGCTGATGATACACCAACTTTTCCACCTCAACTAACTTTTTAGCTATGTTTCAAGTTTTTTTTTTGAAGTGCTTTGGGCCCTGAAAAGGGAAGATATCAATAAAGATACTCTCACGCGTTTCTTCCTCTCGGGCAGCTTCATTGAAAATATATTAATTTCAGAAGTATTAACATAGGAACGAAATTATTTCAATATTCCAACATATGCATTCTCTTTCCATTTCAAGGTTAACTTTGCCATCTAATTATCTTTTCTGTCTATTATATCGATTCTTTCTATCTCTTTTCTTCTTTTTTTCTTTAATTTGTCTATTTTATTCCTTTGAGAAATTAACAAACAGACCCCTTCATAATTAATAACACACATAAACATAGTTAAACGCACACATAGGGCTACACAATAGCAACCTCAAACTGTGAGAGCTAAACACGATCAAACTGCACACAGTATGTGTTGCACATACTGTATATGTTGGCCGCTGAGGAAACCAGCTAGTTTAGCTGGCTGCTTAACAGTTTACCAATCAACAATCTGCGGCCACAGCACTCAAAATCCAACCAGCATGTTAAGAAAAACACAAACAAAACGTACCAAACATATTCCAAAGTTATTCTCCTTTCTTTCCGTTTCAACCTCTTTTGCGAGACTTGTTTTTTTTAAATAATTCCCTTTCATCCCTAGGACCATTTTTATCGCCAAATTAATTCATATCAATGTTCAGCTTCCTAATGAATCAATCAATCGCATGTACACATTATGTGCGTGTTTGCTTGTTTTCAGTAACTAGTTAGCAAAGTGGAAATCAGATGAATGTTTATCCAGCCAGTAAATCTATAAGGGACCATGACAGAGGAAAGATAAGATAGGTATTGTTTGATTTGGGAGTTAAGTCAGCTCTGCCTTGTATTGATTGCCAAAGCAAACACATCGGGGCAGCTGTCAGAGTTCTTACATTTTGTACTGAATCCGGCAGCTGATTTTTTTATCAAAAAACCTTGTGTTGCTGTCATGGGTAGGGCAGAGAGAGAAATGGTCAATGTAGTAATAAACTCTGGATGTTAGTCTGTATATGTCAAAGGATGTCAGTGTCTGAATTGGATAAAATGGGATGGATCTTGGCTTTTTTTTGTAAATCAAAAAAGGCAGATTTTGTGACATCTTCTTGAGAGATCAAACACTATTCTCAAATTAATGACTGTATGACTCTGACCTGTTATGCAGCCATCATGATTTATGGAAACATCAATTCAAACAAATTTTTGTCTGGTTAGAAGCAACTGTGAGAAGTTGTAACAAACTTCGGACAAGCAGTGCTCCGCTTTCACAACATTGGTTGTCATACAGGTAAATAAATGTGTGTGTCATCGGCATAGCAATGAAATGTGTGCTTTCATTTTTTAAAGATGTGGCCAAGTGGCAGCATGTGCACAGAAGAAGAAAAGTGATTCAAGTACTGATCCCTGTGGAGCTCCGTATTTGACTTTAGAATATTAAGACACAGTATTCTGTCACTCAGTTTTGACTTTATATGTTTTTGAATGCATCATCAGCTCAGGAGCCACATAAGCATTGGTTTATCTAGTATAATTAATTTTGTTTCGGTGAAGCAAAAGACTCACAGGAAGAACCAACATATTATGAGTACTAAAAGGCAGGTGATGGCTTGTGTCCCATGGGAGAGAATAGAGCATCATGGAAAACACACACACACACACATATTGACTTTTATCCTGTGAATGAGCAGGCCAGCCAAAGTCATCTGGAAGCTTCCACATGCCAATGAATAAATAAAGCTTTAATTAGTAAAGAAAACAGCGCCACCTGTTGGTGTTCAACCCTTGTGAACTCAGTCCATTATAGGGTGCTGTGGGAAACACCTGAGCCGGCAAAGGCTGAAGTTAAGGGGTTGGCATGGCACTCATGTGGGTGTGTGAGAGAGGAAGTTTTTTTCATGTGGGCCACCCGTGTAACCATGTGTGTTGTATGGCTTCCATTTGTAAAGAGGCTTACCGAGCATATGTGTTGGTATTGTGAGAGAGAGTGTGTGTGTGTGTTTGTGTGCTCCTCGGTGTACGTGTGTGTATGTGACGGGGTCCAACTGCGTGTCCTGGGGCCCACCTGGCAGTGCTGTGCAGATTCTCGGGCCTGAGCAGCTGGCCTGGGGGCTGGTGAGGGTGTTCGGTGGGGGTACGTTTGAGAGGGGTACGGGGGGTCTTCCATGGCCCCTGTCACACCAGACCCAGACAGTAGGAGGCAGATGGACAGGCCACTGCCACTGCCAGAGGGCCAGAGGGGCCACGGGGCTGAGGGAGAGGGCCAGCCAAGACCAACTGAGCTCACTCACACACAAAAAAGGGAAAATATAACACACACATAAATAGAGTAACAAATGAAATACACGTGAAACACAAAAAGCGTTGAATTTTACTGCTTGTAGATACTCATTTTTACCATATCATTCATCAGACTGGCCTGAGAATGTATGGGAACATCAGAGCACAACAAAATACAAGCTGTAAGTTATCTGTCAAAGGCGACTAAACTTTTTGCAAAAAATTGGAATCTGTGCCTGTGTGTGTGTGAACTTTCTGCAAAGCTTTCATAAAACTACTGCAAAACTGCTGTAAGGTAAGACGGTGCTGGAACCAAATCCTGATGTTTCTCGCTGATGTTAGCCTATATTTCTAGTCACGCTGTTGACGTGGTTCTAAGGATGGCAAGTCAGTTGGTTGGTAGCTACACCATTTTGGTTCAGACTGAAATATCTTGGATGAATTGCCACAGACATTCATGGTTCCCAGAGAATGAATCATTTTCTCTAGCGCCACTATGAGTTAGACATTTATGGCTGTGAGTGAAATATCTAGCCATGGGATGAATCGGAATCACTTTGGTGATCTCCTTGACGTTTCATCTAGCGCCATCAGATCCAAATATCAGGTGGTAAAGATGTTAAACAGTATACCTGCTACACATCAACATGTTAGCATTGTCACTGTCAACATGTAAGCACGTTAGCTCAAAGCCCAACTGAACAATAGCTTTAGAGCGGATGAATGAGACCACTAGAAGACAACAGAGAAGGCAGGTGTGTTCTATTAACAAGTCAGGACAGAATAGAAGACACTTCATTGGTATTCAAGACTGCACTGCCTGCATGTTTTTAACATATGACACACAGATGCTCATGAACACAGATCCACCAACACATCAAGCCTCTTTCCTAACATTACCATTTTCAGCACGCAAAAGAACAAAGATGTTTCTTGATAACAATGCCCAAAAACAACACCATACGGAGGGCTGTTTTGAGGAACAGACAGTCCCAGTGATTTGAAGAGAATATGCTAAGAGTGTGTAGGATTGACACAGCGCTTATTGTGAACATGTACTATAGGTGGTGGTGGTGGTGGTGGTGGGTGTGGGAGGTAGCCACCGGCTCCAGTAGTCCAGAGAGCCACAGATGCTCCACTGTTTGTGTGTTGACTCTCTGTAATTTGTTTGCTCTAATTTGTTTTGCCGTGCCAGGGGAGTTCCGATTTTAATTTTGCTCTGTGTGTGTTTACCCCTCTTTGTGGATCGCTGATCTGTTAAGCATAGAGAGAGGGAGGGAGAGAGAGAGAGAGAGAGAGAGAGAGAGAGAGAGAGAGAGAGAGAGAGAGAGAGAGAG